AAAGTGCTCTTTGGTTCTGAAAGACTTCTATTAATATTATTACAATATTTAAGCCTACTATTATTTTGATATAGCCTACAAACACTTGGATTTGCCAATGACATATCATCATCAAGCAGTTTAGTATGAAAACTGGGTTAAAATAGTGCATAGTGCAATAGAGCAAGTGAAATATGATACATCTCTGTTCCAGTGTTGGGGAAGCTACTCTGAAAATATAGTTTACCAAGCTACCAATTCTTTAACACTGGAAGAAGTTAAGCTACACTAAAGCTACCCTTAAGAAAAATATAGTTTACTTAACTAAAGCTACTTTTAAAAACTAATTTGTGATACATTATCATATCTAAATTTGAAATGTCATAAAATACAAATTGCAAGAACAGATCACTCTGGAGTTAGATGTTAACAGAATGTGGAATTTAGCCTAGATGTGTAATTTAGCCTTAACACAAAAACTATGTTTTAAGGGAGAATTAGGCAGGTCTGATGGCGAAGAAGAAAGTAGTGTGTAGTTCCAATAGTAAGCTACACCGCTACATGGCAAAAAGGTAGTTCACCACTGGAAACACTACCAAGATTTGAATTTAGTTCAACTATCACCAAGCTACTGCAAAATGTAGTTAAATTACTAGTTGAACTACATCTATTTCACTCAGTGATGTAAAGTACTTAAGTAAAAAATACTTTAAAGTACTACTTAAGTAGTTTTTTGGGGTCTCTGTAATTTACTTGACTATTTATATTTTTGACAACTTTTACTTTTACTTCACTACTTTCCAAAAGAAAATTATGTACTTTTTTACTCCATACATTTTCCCTGACACCCAAAAGTACTCGTTACATTTTGAATGCTTAGCAGGACAGGAACATTTTCTAATTCACACACTTATCAAGAGAACATCTCTGGTCATCCTTACTGCCTCTGATCTGGTGGACTCACTAAACACATGCTTTGTTTGTAAACGATGTCTGAGTGTTGGAGCATGCCCCTGGCTATCCGTAAATTAAAAATACCAGAAAATGATGCCATCTGGTTTGTTTTATATAAGGAATTTAAAATTATGTATACTTGTACTTTTGATTCTTAAGTATATTTTAGCAATTACATTTACTTTTGATACTTAAGTATCTTTAAAACGAAATACTTTTAGTATTTTACTCAAGTAGTATTTACTGGGTGACTTTCACTTTTACTTGAGTCATGTTCTATTAAGGTATCTTTTCCCACCACCGATTTCACTACTACCCAACACTGCTCTGTGCACAATCAAATTAGCTACCATCTCTTAACCATGGACACATAATAATAACAGCTAGATAAGTGTTATCTCGATTATAACATGCATTAATAAGTCATTTAAAAAAATCATTAGCATATACAATTCAGGGTTTGTATGTGGGCTTTGTATGTCTATAACATAATTCTGATAATGCGTACGTCAATCATAGTAGGGTATAACAGTAAATGTGCTCAATTCTCGTACGTAATTGTGTTAGGCACAACTATATCGTCCATGCAGAATATCCCCAGACTGCACTACTACTACAAACTCTTCAATTGAATTAAGCTATATTATTATTTTCGATGTAAACAATTCATTTTCAATGTCTGAATAGCTACAACAAACCACAATGCTGCTGAGAGATTCCGAACTTCAAGTTTTTCTCACCTGTGGGCTCGGCGCTTCGGTTTTCGGGTTCGAGCAGCGCCCTGTGTTGCTATGGACTCTCATATTCCATTGGTATTTTGTCACAGATTAAACACATCAAGCAATGACCATTGAGTGCCATAGGTGCGGGTAAATGAGATACCATGGTGCGCAAGGCGATGTGCAGGAGAACAGATGATTGAGCCGCGATCACAGTTTGCAAACGAACTAAATTGGCGAGTTGGGCTGTAGATGGGCAACCCGCTTTCAAAGCCCGCTTCTCCCAGATGAGAGAAAGGGTTGACTAGGACGCCCCCTTGGGGTTCCAATAGGGAGACACCAGAGACTACATCTCTCCATCTCTATCCCTCTGTCTGGACCACCTTTTATTGTGTCAAATGCTAGATAAATACTTTGTTTCATTTTTGTTTGGCAGGACAACTGTTACTTTGATGGCCAACACTGACATTATAGTTGCCTCAGAATGTGCATTGGTCTGCAACTTCAAATAAAATGCCATATGAAAACAAAGTAGATGTTCAAACAGTATTAATCCAAGACATAGCGAGAGAGGATTATGTTGAACCAATACACAATGACGCTTGCTTACAACAAACGTATGCCTTTCTTTTTTGTGTGCTGATTGTACGGAGATCGTGACAGCCGGTTAAATGGCGTCCCTTGAGAAGGCAAGAACAGGATGTATGTCAGGAGAAGTGCAGTATTATCATAAGGAGATGTGTACTTGGAATACGGAGGAGGAATGGAGGGGAAAAGAGAGGCAGAGGAGGTCTAAGAGAGAGAGGGAGGAAGAGGGTGAGCTTGAGTCGGTTAAAAATTGTGGGAAAAAGGGAGATGGTTTGTTAAAGAAGAATGGTAGAAAGCGTAAGCAGAGTGAGCTGAAGACAGGAGGAGAAATGGAACTGAATGAGGGCGAAGGATAGGAGGTGATAGGTGTGGTGAAGTTCTCGGAGCCCGAGGCTTGCACCAAGGGTCAGGATAAAGATGATTCTGTGACTGTTTTTGGAAAAAGTGGACCCTTGCATTTTGGCTGATCCATTTGTGGTTTCAGGGTGGGTGAAAACAGAGTTGGGTGCTGTGGAATCGGTGAGGGTAACCAGAAGTGGTCTGGTGATAATTGTTTGTGTTTCTGCTGGTCAGAGGGAGCAGGCGCTCTGCGTTAAATGAATGGGGCCAAGATATATGAATTGTTTTGCTCTCAAGAAAAGGGTGCCATTGAAAGGAATGATTACTGGGGTAGCGGTAAATGTGAACGTTGACCAACTGAAGGGGAAGATTCCCGCTGTTTGTGATGCTCGTCATTTGGTGCGATGCAGACAGGGTGGCGTGAGTAGTGAAACAGAAGAGTCGTTGTCTGTTCTTTTGAGTTTTGATGTTGAGTCTTTGCCCGACAAAGGGATGTTAGGATATATAAGTTATCCTGTACAAGCTTTTGTGCCGAATACATTACGTTGTTACACGTGTCAAGCTTATGGGCACGTGGCAGCAGTGTGTAGGAGGAAGGTTTCTAGGTGTGAGAAGTGTGCAGAAGGGCATGAGATAAAGGAATGTGTAGCATTGGGGAAAGTAGTGGAATGTGTTAATTGTAGGGGTGCCCATGGGACTGGGAATCAGAATATCCTGTGTGAGAGAGGCAGGTTGAGGTTTCCAGGGTTAGAGTAGTGCAGAAGTTGTCATATGCTGAGGCAGTGAAGAAAGTAGAGGAAGATGGGTCAAGGGGGAGGGATCCTGAGAGGAGTGGTGTGAGTAGTAGATCTGTACTAGTACAGAGGGATAGGCCAACAAGTGATATACACTACCGTTCAAAAGTTTGGGGTCACTTAGAAATGTCCTTTTTTTTCGAAAGAAAAGCAATTTTTTGGTCCATTAAAATAACATCAAATTGATCAGATATACAGTGTAGACATTGTTAATGTTGTAAATGGCTATTGTAGCTGGAAACGGCTGATTTTTAATGGAATATTTACAAAGGTGTACAGAGGCCCATTATCAGCAACCATCAGTCCTGTGTTCCAATGGCACGTTGTGTTTGCTAATCCAAGTTTATTGTTTGTGTTATGGCTTTTTCTTTGCAACTCTGCCTAGAAGGTCAGCATCCCGGAGTCGCCTCTTCACTGTTGACGTTGAGACTGGTACTGTTTAATGAAGCTGCCAGTTGAGGACCTGTGAGGCACCTGTTTCTCAAACTAGACACTCTAATGTATTTGTCCACTTGCTCAGTTGTGCACCGGGGCCTCCCACTCCTCTTTCTATTCTGGTTAGAGACAGTTTGCGCTGTTCTGTGAAGGAAGTAGTACACAGCTTTGTACGAGATCTTCAGTTTCTTGGCAATTTCTCGCATGGAATAGCCTTCATTTCTCAGAACAAGAATAGACTGACGAGTTTCAGAAGAAAGTTATTTGTTTCTGGCCATTTTAAGCCTGTAATCGAACCCACAATTGCTGATGCTCCAGATACTCAACTAGCCTCAAGAAGGCCAGTTTTATTGCTTCTTTAATCAGCACAACAGTTTTCAGCTGTGCTAACATAATTGCAAAAGGGTTTTCTAATGATCAATTAGCCTTTTAAAATGATAAACTTGGATTAGCAAACACAACGTGCCATTGGAACACAGGACTGATGGTTGCTGACAATGGGCCTCTGTACGCCTATGTAAATATTCCATTAAAAATCAGCCGTTTCCAGCTACAATAGCCATTTACAACATTAACAATGTCTACAATGTTATTTTAATGGACAAAAAAAATGCTTTTCTTTCAAAAACAAGGACATTTCTAAGTGACCCCAAACTTTTGAACGGTAGTGTATGTTTCAGTAAGATTGGATTTTTAGCATTTATACCAATGGTTATCAACTGTAGTGCAGGGATGGAACGTAAGTCACACAAAATGTAGGTTGTGGTGGCAGCTGCAGAGAAGTATTTGGGTGTGCGAGACTTGATGTCAGAAGAGTTACAGGGTGTGTTAAGTGGTGGTGTCCCATCCTTTCACGCTGTTGGTCTGAGGTAGGATTAAATAGATTTAAATAGTGGAGTAGGGTGGTGTTTATTTTAATTTAATTTTTTTGTGAGTGTAGTGTTAGATGGTAGGGTATTTGTTTATTTTTTTATTTTTTTCAAGCAAAGTATAAGGGAGTTATACTCCAGTCTAGTAGGTGGCAGTAATGCAAAATGTATTGGATGCCAACCGCTGTTAAACCTCATCGAAGAAGAAGACAAACGCGTGCCAATCTGCTACAGTAGGCTCGAACTGCAGGCACGCCAAACGAAGTGTTGGGGGTGGGACTATCTGAAGTCCATCCAGGAAGCGCTTTTCTGAATGCTTTCAGTTACCATCGAGATATAACGATGAGATAGAAGTAATGTGATAGGTCTGTGTAATACAATATGCCAGCTTTCAGAATAAACAAAACACATTTGGTGACTTTAAGCCTGCGTTTTCATGGCATAGTTAGACAAATAGCCATATTGATCCTCAACCTTGTTGCAGAATGGATCAATAATAGATGCAGAATAGATGCAGAATAAGCGGTTTTTTATCACCCAAACAAACTAGACCATCTGCCGTCTAATCCAACGACTGTGGTTTCATTTACCGCTGAGCTAACCCCTGCAGAGTAAGCTAATTTTAAATAATGTCGAAACTACTGGGCTCTGCGGGGGTCTCTGTGTTGGGCGACAAGTCTTTGGAGTTTTACCGAGATCCGGTGGCTTTTTGTGAACAACGTATTGAAAAGCATGGGACACGGATATTTCAATCAAGACTTCTGAACAAACCAACTTCCTTCGTCTGTTCGGTGGAAGGGATGAAAGAATTACTTTGCGGTATAGCCACTTATTCGTGTGTGTGTGTGTGTGTGTGTGTATGTATGCATGTGTGTGTGTGTGTGTGTGTGTGTGTGTGTGTGTATGTATGCATGTGTGTGTGTGTGTCGCAATAACCTAATCAGTTCAACTGTCACATTTTTGCCTAATAGGCCAACATTTTTATACATTAATAGTTTTTGCTTTTCATGAATCATGAATGAGTCTACATATCAGTTTAAAGTTCATTTCTATTTTTAACGCATTAGCAGGATGTGATAGGATTTCATTAATGATAATTCATCCATAGATTAGACAGGGCTTGATAACTGACCATGTCATGTGATGCACCCGTGACTTTGCCTGGGGGGTAGGGGTGAGAATTGTGTGTTTCCCCATTGAAAGAGGAAATTGCAGCAGATGTGATCATGACTGTATTTCAGAGAAGTCATCTGTGTTCCTGAAAGACCCCACTGATGTAATGCACAACATGTATGGAGACAACATAGTGACTGCTAATGGTGAGTTGATGTCCCAATAGGTCCATAGGGTGCAACTTGCATGCAATTTGTTTATCATGGGATAGGGGTTATATTAGAGAGCCTACACCTCATCTGGCCTTTACAAAGACATCTTTGATTGTACATGTTCACAGGGTAAAGCTGCTTTAGGCCTTCACACTATTTGCTTGTTTAATTAATTTATCAGAAGTTGAAAAAAAAAATAGAATATTCATTATTTAGATCAATAGATGGAGTCATTGCACAGTTTCTTTAATTCTCCAATGCTATGAGCAACTCCATAATGTTATCTATTGTATTCTGTATTGTTCATCCAGGCGAGGAAGCCTGCTTGCTGCGTCTGTCTCTCACCAACCTTTTCACAGGAAAGTGTCTGGCCTCAGGCTCTGACCTCATTAACAGGTAAAGACTAGTTTCATTTATTGGGTATGACAGGGTTGACCAAATGTCATTATAAATATATCTTAATTAAGGATAACAATGCTTGTTTCTCTGTTTTTCTTTCCTACACAGTGTTTCTGAACGGTGCTTGAAGGATCTTTCTGCAACGTAAGAACCCTTGAAACCCCCACTCACATTCCTTCATGCACTTCTGTCTTACTCAAAATACACTAGCAGGACCATACCAGAAATGTATGACCTACAGTGCCTTCAGAAAGTATTCATAACCCTTGACTTATTCCACATGTTGTTGTGTTACAGCCTGAATTCAAAATTAATTACATTAATTTGTTTCTCTCCTACAGTATCTACACACAATACCCCATAATGACAAAGTGAAAACATGTTTTTAGACATTTTTGCAAATGTATTTAAAATGAAATACAGACATTTCTCATTCACACCCCTGAGTCAATACATGTTAGAATCACCTTTGGCAGCGATTACAGCTGTGAGTCTTTCTGGGTAAGTCTCTAAGAGCTTTGCACACCTGGATTGTACAATATTTGCACAAAATTCTTCAAGCTCTGTCAAGTTGGTTGTTGATCATTGCTAGACCGCCATTTTCAAGTCTTGCCATAGATTTCCAAGCCGATTTAAGTCAAAACTGTAACTAAGCCACTCAGGAACATTCAATGTCATCTTGGTAAGCAACTCCAGTGTATATTTGGCCTTGTGTTTTAGGTTATTGACCTGCTGAAAGGTGAATTTGTCTCCCAGTGTCTGCTGGAAAGCAGACTGAACCAGGGCTTCCTCTAGGATTTTGCCTATGCTTAGCTCTATCCATTTATTTTTACCCCCCCCCCAAAAAAAAAAAAAAATCCCTACTCCTTGTCGATGACAAGCATACCCATAACATGATGCAGCCACCACCATGATTGAAAACAGTGGAGGCTGGTGGGAGGAGCTATAGGAGTACGGGATCACATTTATTCCATTCCAGCCATTACAATGAGCTCATCCTCCTATAACTCCTCCCACCAGCCTCCACTGATTGAAAATAGGAATTGTGGTACTCAGTGATGTGTTGTGTTGGATTTGCCCCAAAGGAAATGTTTCCTTATTTTTTTTTTTTATATTTATATATTTTTTTTAATTCTGATTTATCAGGGTGTGATGCAGCACCCTCAGTACCCCTACTTCCTGTGGCTATGACTGGGTGTATTGATACACCTTCCAAAGTGTAATGAATAACTTCACCATGCTCAAAGTGATATTCAATGTCTGCTTTTTTTTACCCATCTACCAATAGGTGCCCTTCTTTGCAAGGCATTGGAAAACCTCCCTGGTCTTTGTGATTGAATCTGTGTTTGAAATTCACTGCTCAACTGAGGAACCTTATAGATAATTGTGTGTGTGGGTTGCAGAGATGAGGTAGTCATTCAAAAATCATGTTAAACACTATTATTGCACACAGAGTGAGTCCATGGGGTATTGTGTGTAGGCCAGTGTCACAAAATGTCAATTTAATCCATTTTAAATTTAGGCTGTAACACAACAAAATGTGGAAAAGGTCAAGGGGTGTGAATACTTTCTGAAGGCACAGTATGTTCTGTTCACTTCTCTGATTCTTCTTGTGTAGTGGGGAGCCCGTGTCCGTGTACCCCCTGTTTAAACGGTTGGGAACAGAACTGGTGTTGGGGCTGTTCCTGAATGTGAACCCAGAGGAGACGCCAGAGCTTTTCCAGGACATTACAGCACTCTGTACCCTACACTGGCACGGTGAGATGATGTACCCTACACTGGCACGGTGAGATCAGCCTCTGCCACTCGTAGGTTTTCCCCTCTTACAATGGGAGGCATGCTGCCCACACTGGGCCTCATTGAACAAACACCACTACAATTTCAGCATATCAACAATTGAAGAAACACTTTAGTCTCACTTTCTTTCAAAGAACTTCCTGTCCCCTGATGATGGTGAATATATACGTATAGCCAGATAGATGTCTGACAAAACAGACTGCACTGCATTCAAGGAGCCCTGTTTTCAAAGGGAGTGGAATAGACACACAGATCTGTGCATTAGCTGAGCTACAGTGGTAGTTAGATCTCAACACCTCTATTGACAACACTGCCTCAGGCATCTCGGTGAATCCCAGCAGGTGTCAATGACTATTACATTAACACAGCATGTTAATGTGGTAATTGTGAGCCAATATACTTTTCAAAAGGGGATATTAGGCTAATGAAACTGTAGTGGTTTCTCTTCTATAGGTAGGCGTAGGCCCCTTTCAGGTTGATGTAAGCATAGAGATGGATACATATATTGTTTTGTCAGAATGTGACCTTTGACCTTTCAACCCCCTGTCCTTCCCTTACAGGGATCATCTCAGCTCCAGTCAGTGTGAAGGTTCCTCTGTGGTCCTCTGGCTTTTGCACAGCGCTGGAGGCTAAAGACAAGCTCATGGACATCATTAAAGACAAGCTGGAGTGTCAGAGACAGGGGTGAGTCCATAAATATGTTGTCATAGACACACACCTTGTGGTCACATGTAGTGGGCCTTCTCGCCTCACTTTCATTGTCACTTTGTCTTAATGCTCTCTCACTTACTCTCTCTTTCTCTCTCTCTCGCTCTGTAGGTTTGTAGGTTCTCTCCGCGATCTCCCTCTACCTGATGCCAGTTGTGCCTCCCAGCATTTGCTGTTGTTCATCTCTGCTCTGATCCCCAAAGCCCTGGCATCCCTACTCACCTCCTTCACTCTGGTTCTGAGTGGAGCAGGCAAGGTGAGACGGCCTGGTTCTCTTACTGAAACTTCAGAGCACGGGAACGCACTTTAAATGATGTTGACCTTACATTGTAGTAACAACTACACAGCTTTTGGAAATGCCTTGCTTTGAATCAGTGTAGTACTGCAGGAACCCTGTACTAACACTAACGCTTCATTCTTTTGTCAGGAGGAAATTAGGAATCGTGCGAGGGCAGACCCTGATTACCTTTACTACGTCCTCCTGGAAGTACAGAGACTTTGGCCTCCGTTCATTGGTGGAAGGAGAATAGCCAATCAAGTGAGTCCACTACATTGCTTGTAATCAATAACATTTTATTTGATATCTCAGCTCTCTCTGTGCATTCATGATCTGAGCTCTAGGGGGAGTAGCATGCCCATAAATAGATCTTTAAAGAAGTCTGAATGTAAAAGGGAACATTATGTATTTTCCTATACTTATGATAGACAACTGTGATCTCCCGGCGGCACGCAATGACAATGAACTTCTTTCTAAGTTGTTTACAATGATGAATGACAAGTATGTTCACATGTTCCCCAGTTGATATCCTCTATGAATTATTATATTTCTGAAATATTGCATGAGCAGCCCAAGCTATCGACTCTATGTATTTTTTCCCCATGTCATTGTATTGTATATCTGATAACAGGAAGGCGATTAATCAAAATAGGCCTCCTACATCCCAGTCAATGTTTATGATGCAGATGCTGAAATGAATGCATTGTGTGACAAAAGATAAGTTATTTAATAGTGTATTATGGGTGTTTTTAGTAATAGAGCTGTCAGCCAATAGATTATTGGCTAACTGTGGTCGCCATCTCTTCATTGTTCACTGGCTGGCTTTATAATGAAAATGGTCCAGTTGATGACGTCCATAAATAGTGTGACCTCATGCCGCGTCACGCAAAAACAACAGCCCATGAGGGGAATTGATTGGGCTCAAATTGATTGACCCTCTTACCCAAGGGCTGTGTTTGCTGTATGAGTGGAAAAAGTAATAGCTTGTATTTGCAATGGCTTCAATTGTGTACTAGCTAGTATGTTGTGTAATTTCTTTTTCACCTTTTGTAACACTGAGTGAGTATAGTTAGCATCATTTTTGTACTTGAAAATTCCTCAATTGGTCTGATGTAGAGATATCTCTCTGTGTGAGTCCTGACCTGGAGAGGTTGTTAATAACAAGTGACATGGGATTTCAACCAGCTGGTGAGGTGCCGACACAACTAGGAGCAGAAAAAACAAGTGTTAGATTAATCAGGCCCAAACAGGTGGTCATAGATGCATATTTAATCAAAATATCTCATGAATATGAATCTGTCGTGCAGAGTGAACTGTCAGGGTGACAGAGTGTTGGGGAAGGGGAGGATGGAGAGGGAGAGAGGGAGGATGGAGAGGGAGAGGAGGATAGAGAGTGAGATGGGAGAAAGGATGGAGAGAGGGATAGGCTGGAGATAGAGGGGAGGATGGAGAAGGAGGGAGGGATGGAGAAGGAGGAAGGGAGAGGCGGGGGAGGAGAGGAGCCCTGAGTTCCTGGTCGTCCTGCTTCAGAGCCCAGCTCCTAGTAGACCTAGCAGCCACAGGGAAGCACAGCTGGGCCCCAGCTCCCAGTAGACCTAGCAGCCACAGGGAAGCACAGCTGGGCCCCAGCTCCCAGTAGACCTAGCAGTCACAGGGAAGCACAGCTGGGCCTCTTCTGCTTTTTGGGCATAGCAACACACACAGAAAGTCACTCACACAAATTCTCATATCAGAATATTTATAGTCGGTCTCTGAATTAATTAACATTGCACTACACTCTGTACTGTACATTTCATTTTCTCCAGGGTTGTCGGAGAAGAACATTTTCTGACTCACCCTCCTCCGACTCCAGCGGTGGTGGTCAGTGAACTGTGGTTATGCCCACGGTCTCACATGTAGATTGGGATGTTTGGGATGTTTCAGGTTCTTGTTTGCCTGTGAGTGTTAAGTCATATTCATGATGAAGGTGGGAGGAGGGGCCACTTGTGACGCATTCCTTGTTGTGTGCTCTCACGGCTCCCCCTCCTTCCTTCCTTCCTTCCTTCCTTCCTTCCTTCCTTCCTTCCTTCCTTCCTTCCTTCCTTCCTTCCTTCCTTCCTTCCTTCCTTCCTTCCTTCCTTCCTTCCTTCCTTCCTTCCTTCCTTCCTTCCTTCCCTCCTTCCTTCCTTCCTTCCTTCCTTTCCTTCCTTCCCTCCTTCCATCCCTCCCTTCATTTCTCCCTCCCTCCCTCCCTCCCTCTCTCCCGGCAGGTGGATGAATAATGCATACCCATACGCCCAGGTTATGATGGGTAATTGATTGAGGCAGTAAACACTGATGTTACAGTGCTGGAGTTGGGTGGAGGAGCGGAGGGGGAGGGAGGGAGGAGGAGGGTGTTCGTCATGGGTGGAGTGGGGTTCGTCACGCCCTCCCCTCACCTGAGGCAAAGCAGCTCCTCCACAACAATAACAACACCAGGAGAGTGTAAGAGAGTGTGAGAGAGAGAAATGATTGGCGATTGGCCTGGCAAATGCCAGATTGGTGATTGGCCTTCTGGCAAGTGCCAGATGGGCTGGACAATTATTTTGTTGGGTGGGCTGGTCGAAATTGACACACACAAATATAGATATGTTTTTCTATAGAAATAAAACAATAAAAAAGGTGACATGGTCTGCGATCCCCATGGGCCTGTTAAGATGTTATAATAATCTATAATAAGCCTTTGGTTTATCAGTGGGTAATGGCCGGCCCCACTACCAAGATGGGCCGGGCCTGTTTTCTGATAGGCTGAGCTGAGGTTATGCAAACTCATGTTCAAAGTCAAACACGGCATCAGCAAAGAGAGCTGCTCCGACTGTCATCAGTTAGACAGCCAAGATCACGGATCATAAAAAACGGAAAAGGTGCCAATAAACGTAGAAAGAGCACATTCTACATTGTCAGCTCACTCAAAACGTCCTATTTTTTGGGTGGCTAAAACCATGATTTGGTCAAATAGTAAAGTGCATTATCCTCATGATTCCTGTAATGAAAGTGTCTGCCCTGTGCCTTTGCCCTCGCTGGGGCCTGCTGCTGTGATGAGCAAGCCACTCTCCTCTCCCCCCATGCGCCCGAGAGAAAGTGTGCGCAGTGATGCGGGCTGGTGTGGATAAAATGCCAGGGCCGAATTCTTGTCCCAGTCCACCCCTGGGAGAGAGAGAGAGATAACACCAAGCAAGAGAGGGAGACAGAGAGAAGGCAGAAGTGGGTAAGCGAGAGAGAGTTAGAGAAAGAGAGAGTACTTTAACCCATACCTACGAAGCCAGCCAGGCAAATCAAATTGTATTTTTCACATGTGTGGAAAACCACAGGTACAGACCTTACAAAAATCCCCATCAAAATCCGCCAGTTTGAGCTAGAGATATCTGTTTTTTGCATGGGCTGTGTCTCGATCCACCGCATCTGTCTGTGTCTGCCTTCCGCATCTGTGGTGGAAAGTGGCAGAGCTACAGCGCTGTTTGTCAGACTAGGAGACATCCCGAAAATCGGTCTTCTCACAAAGACGTCTGTAGTGTCCGAAAGGTTTGGCCTACTAACTAATATGACCACTCTATGGAAAGATGAGACTCTCACGAACATGATGGTGTTCTCCATTTTGCTTTACGACCCCCACAACAGACTGGTATATGGAATATGTCCGTAAACACTCCAGCTAGCTGGTCTGCACATGCTCTGACGACGCAGCTTGGGATGCTGTCTGGACTGGCAACTTTGCGAGGGTTAACACGCTTAAATTACTTACGTCGGCAACAGAGGTGGCTGGCTGGCTTTCCCTTTATATTCCTTAATTGTCTGGAGTCCTTGCCACATATGTCTCGTGTCTGAGCTGTTGAATTGCGACTCCACTTTGTCCCTGTACTGTCTGTTTTGCCTCTTTGATTGCCTTACAGAGATCATAGCTGGTCTGTTTGTACACGTCCATAAATGCGGTAGTTTGCGCTTTCAGTTTAGCGCAAATGCTGCCAACGATCCACGATCTTTGGTTTGGATAAGTTCTAATCATCACAGTGCCCTTCCTGATGAATCGAGTCAGTGTATACGTCAATAATATTCTCAGAGACGAACCAGAACATTTCCCAGTCCATGTGATCAAAACAATCTTAGATTCCGATTGGTTAGACCAACGTTGAACAGTCCTTACCACATGTGCTTCCTGTTTAAGTTTCTGCCTATAGGTGGGGAGGAGCAGAATGGCGCGTGATCTGATTTGCCAAAGGAAGGTGCGGGGAAGGACCTTGTAGCCGTCCCGGAAGGGAGAGTAGCAATGATCAAGAGTTTGTGATGCGCTTGTAGCACAGGAGATGTGTTAAAGTCCCTAGCTACAAAAAATGCGGCCTCAGGATATGCGGTTTCCAGTTTGTACATAGTCCAGTGTAGTTCCTTGAGAGCCATTGTGGTGTCGGCTTGGGGGGGAATGTACACGGCAGTGATGATGAGCGAAGAAAATTATCTTGGGACATAATGTGGTCTGCATTTGATGGTGAGGTATTCCAGATCGGGAGAACAAAAGGACTTGCGTTCCTGTACGTTACCACAATCACACCATGATGATATGTTAATCATGTACAGTGCCTTCAGAAAGTATTCACACCCCTTGACTTTTTCCACATTTTGATGTGTTACAGCCTGGATTTAAAATTGATTAAATTGGGATTTTTTGTCACTGGCCTACACACAATTCCCCATAATGTCAAAGTGGAGTTATGTTTTTCGAAAGTTTTACACATGAATAGAAAATGAAAAGCTGAAATGTCTTGAGTCAGTAAGTATTTAAACACTTTTGTTATGGTAAGCCTAAATAAGTTTCAGGAGTACAAATTTGCTTAACAAGTCACAAAATAAGTTGCATGGACATTTTGTGACACTGGCCTACACACAAAACCCCATGGACTCACTCTGTGTGCAATAATAGTGTTTAACATGATTTTTTAATGACTACCTCATCTCTGTACCCAACACATAAAATTATCTGTAAGGTCCCTCAGTCGAGCAGTGAATTTCAAACACAGATTCAACCACAAAGACCAGGGAGGTTTTGTAAAAAAATTAATAAAAAAAAAACAGACATTGAATATCACTTTGAACATGTTGAAGCTATTAATTACACTTTGGGTGGTGTATCAATACACCCAGTCACTACAAAGATACAGGGGTCCTCCTAAATCAGTTACCGGAGAGGAAGGAAACCGCTCAGGGATTTCACCATGAGGCCAGTGGTGACTTTAAAACAATTACAGAGTTTAATGGCTGCGATAGGAGAAAACTGAGGATGGATCAACAACATTATAGTTACTCCACAATACTAACCGAATTGACAGAGTGAAAAGAAGGAAGCCTGTATAGAATACAAATATTCTAAAACATGCATCCTGTTTGCATCAAGGCACTAAAGTAATACTGCAAAAAATGTGTCAAAGCAATTAACTTTTTGTCATGAATACAACGTGTTATGTTTGGGGCATCATGTTATGGGTATGCTTGTAATTGTTAAGGACTGGGGAGTGTGAATGTCAAGGGGTCAAGGGGAATTAATACTTTCTGAAGGCACTGTGTGTGTGTGTGTGTGTGTGTGTGTGTGTGTGTGTGTGTGTGTGTGTGTGTGTGTGTGTGTGTGTGTGTGTGTGTGTGTGTGTGTGTGTGTGTGTGTGTGTGTGTGTGTGTGTGTGTGTGTGTGTGTGTGTGTGTGTGTGCGTGCGTGCGTGCGTGTGTGTGTGAGTGTGTGGATAGAGACCTGTGAGTGTGCATATAGCCAGTGCAGGTAGTGTCCCTGCAGATAGTCCATACAGATAATCCGGGTAGCCATTGATTAGCTATTCAACAGTCATCAGAGGCGCCAGGCCTCACATGGCATCATTAAGGTGGCGGATTAAGATTCCTGAGCTTTCGGAAAGACGTGAGTAATCCTCTCAAATGGAACGGGGGAGTGTGCAGTGGCATTTTGAGCATGTCCTGTTGTTGCTTGCTGGTGGAATATTAACTCTATGAGGTCAGTGAGTCTCACTGTTCTCTACAATGGACTGACTGGGGATGATGTTGCTGAGCTAGTTTCCACTCTGGACTGTCAGAAATAATCAGGTAACACTGACAGACTATCGCCTCTTCGAGACTCTGTCTTTCCTACTCTAGCTAGGCCATTGCATTCATTGACTTAGCCCTGGACTCTTAGACATCATCACACTTTGCCTCTGTAAAGTCCTCTGCAACAATCACTCTTGGACTCACACACTTTATTCTGGAGCTCATGAAAGGCTTTATATTCCACGTCAGTCGCTGCATCCCCTTTGTGCCAGCCTATGATCAGAGATGGTCCAGACAGCAACTCTTGAAATCCAGACCCATCTCTGCCTATGTTGTGTTTATTTATTTCCCTCAGAACCCAGAGCCCCAGCCAGCCCCAGCCCCGGTCAGGTGGGCCCAAATGCTGCCTGCTAATGGGGTTATACATAAAACATCCGCATCTGGCTGGCTGCCTGACTGGCTTCCTGATAGCAGGATGTGCATGTCACTGGGAATAAGGACAAGGCCTGATGAGGGGCTGTAGTCTACTGGGGACCTGTGATACAGTAAAGCCAGGGATCATGAATACAGACATCCTAAATATGTGATATCTCTTTTCCCAGTTTTTAAATAGTTTTCATAGAATCGTATTTTCCCACAATCTCTGCTACTGTACAATGATCAGTGTTCCTTTTCGAAAACAATGATCAGTATTCTGAGAATACTGTGTGTGTGCGTGCATGCGTGAGTGAGAGTGATCCATAGAAGTGCTCTCTGCTCTGCTCTGAGAGGAGGCTCTCTCTCTCTCCCCCTTGGTAAACAGGAAGCAGCTTCTCAATAATGACACCTCAGTGCCTCTCTGTGATGGACTTAATGCCTTAACAAACACCCCACTGCCTCTGATTGAGTTATTGTTTTAACAAACAACCCACTGCCTCTAATTGAGTTAATGTTTTAACAAACACCCCACTGCCTCTAATTGAGTTAATGCTTTAACAATCAGACAGAGAGAGGGGGGGAGAGGAGAGGAAGAATGAATTCTCTCTCTACGTATTTTGCCAGTTGAACAATAGTCAGTAAGTAAATAGTGATTACTGATTATATACAAAATGTATGGTGCTATAATAATAAACCTCAGGTTGTTTGCCATATTCATAGCAGTACTGTATGTGACTCTAGGATTTCTAGGAAAAGCAACCATTCCCACATGAAAAAATACTACAGTTTACTATAGAATACTACAGTATTTACTACAGCATTATGTGAAAACACAGTCAGCAGAAACACTACACTTTTTGAACTACAGTAATTCCTCTTCCCCATATCCCAATTTATGCCTCCCATAAGTGAGAAACCTACAGTGGGGAGAACAAGTATTTGATACACTGCCGATTTTGCAGGTTTTCCTACTTACAAAGCATGTAGAGGTCTGTAATTTTTATCATAGGTACACTTCAACTGTGAGAGATGGAATCTAAAACAAAGATCCAGAAAATCACATTGTATGATTTTTAAGTAATTAATTTGCATTTTATTGCATGACATAAGTATTTGATACATCAGAAAAGCAGAACTTAATATTTACTACAGTATTTATACTATCGTTAACTGTAAATACTACAGTATACTACAGGAAATACTGTACAGGAAAGTCTGCAAAAACACTAAAGTACTATAGTATTTATACCACGTTGAGTTATTGTCAAATGACTGCCCTCACAACTCAATGCCAGTCTCCTACTGTTTTATTCTCTCCAAAGGACACTACTCTGGGAGGCTTCCACGTTCCCAAGGGTTACGCTGCCATGTACATCAGCCATGCCATCCACCGCGACCCGGAAGTGTTCCACCAGCCAGAGGACTTCCTGCCAGAGAGGTGGGGTGGAAGGTGAGGCCTTTACACAGAAACCCTTCTCTTTTTGCTTTTGCAGTAGCATCGTTCACTTCTCCGCTCAAACAGGCCAACCTCCACCTACACTAAGATCTTCTGTCTGAGCACATGGCTGTGCCTCAGGGTAAAACAGTTTATCACAACAAAAGGAGTATCTTGTTCTGACCTTGTCCTGTTCGTGTGGGTGTGCGCGTCATGTCGGCGATAGCAGGTGCAGCGGAGTTAAGAGGTTCTAGGCATCTCATAATTCTAAAGAGAGAAGAAGAGAGAGCAGAGAGATCGAGAGAAAAGAGAGAGGAGAGAGAGAGATAGGAAGAGAGACTCTAGAGAGATGGGAGCGAGAGAGAGAGAGAGAGGAGGAGAGCAAGAGAGAGAGAGAGAGAAGAGCTATAGCGAGCAAGCGAGACGGCGCGACACGATCGAGAGACGAGAGCGAGAGAGAGATGTAGAGACGATTACGAGAGAAGATAGAGAGAGGAGGAGAGAGAGAGAAGAGGAAAAGAGAGAGAGAGAGAGAGAGAGGAGAGAGAGAGAGAGAGAGAGGAGGAAAAGGGGGGGGGAGAGAAGAGAGAGAGAGAGAGAGAGAGAGAGAGAGAGGAGAGAGAAAAGGGGAGAAGGGGGGAGGAGAGAAAGAAAGGAGAGAGAGAGAGGAGCACCGAAGAAAAGGGGGGGGGGAAAGAGGGAGAAAAGAGGGAGAGGGGAGAGAAGAGAGAGAGAAGAGGGGAAAAGGGGAGGGGAGAGAGGAGAAGGGGGAGAAAGGAGAGAGAGGGAGAGAGAGGGGAGGAGGCGGGGGAAGGGAGAGAGAAGAGAGGAGGAGAGGAGAGGAGAGAGAGAAGGGGAGAGAGAAGACCCCGGGGCCGGGGAAAAAAAAAAAAGAAGAGGAGAGAAGAGGAGAAAAGAGACGAGGAGGGGGAGAGAGAAAAGGGGGGGGAAAAAGAGAGAAAAAAGAGAGAGAGAGAGGGGGAAAAGAGAAGAGAGAGAGAGAGAGAGAGCGAGAGGAGAGCGAGGGAGAAGAGAGAGAGCAGAGAGGTCTCGCTAGATAGCTAGATAGATAGGCTGATTTATATATATATCGATAAATCGAGATCGCTCTATGCTATCTCTCTCTCTCTCTATCTCTCATCTTCTTCTCTCATCTCTCTCTCTTCTCTCTCTCTCTCTCTCTTCTCGCTCTCTCTCTCTCTCTCTCTCTTCTCTCGTCTTCCTCTCTGCAGGATTTTATTATACTATTCTTCTCCCATCTTTTCTTTACCGTGACCTCGGTGACCCCTTGCATTCTCCGGTTCACTTCACAGACACCTGGGGCTCCGGTTTAAAAATAACACCCTCTGTGCTGAGAACATGTTATGTATTCTCTCTCTCGTCCTCCCTCCCTCTCTTTCTTACTTGCTCTCTTTTGCTTTGAAGCTTTCTGTGTGTGTGTGTGTGTCCATTAAGTTGAACTCTTTACTCCAGTATTCATGAGTTCCCTTGAGTCATTAGAGAGTGTGTCCTCTGAGTGCATCATGGTGTCCAGGCTGGAAAAACAGGCAATTATACTCTCACATTTCCAATAACATATCCACAAATGTACTCTATTTTGTTCTCTAATGTACTGTATTTTCTGTAGTACCTTTAGAATATAGCCCTTGTAGTGTAAGGATTTGATATTTTTGCCATTATTGGATGATGTTAATAATGCTGATGATTAAACTATTCAATGGAGTTACCATTTGGTGTTGCCTGTGGTTCTAAAGGAGGATCTTCTATATTGTGAGCTCATCTTGTCCTGTTCTGAAGGATTTACCATAGAAATAGATACATTAATATCTATGGGATTTATCTTTATCTCTATTTTATGGGAGAGGCTGATCATGAGAACAACTGAGTATCAGAGATACTGTTGCTAAGGCTGTCAATGCTTAGCGCCCAAAGATCTGGCAAGAGATAAAATGAGTCATACAGTTATAGAGTTAAAGTGAAATTCTTTGGTAAGACTGTGATAATGTCTGATAAGCGCATGATAACAATGTGTAAAATTCATACCATGACTGATGAATCAATAAACAATGTTCAGGGTAGGTGCTCTGATGATGATGATGAGGATGATGATGGGGGGGGGGGGGGGGGGGGGTCACTGAGATAGAGAGAAAAATAGTAAGAAGGTTAGAAAGGTGGAGATAGTGAATCAAACTGGCCTCATTGTCAGTCGGATGCACACAGATGCTGCCCACTGCTGCAGGGCATGATGCATGATGGGACCTGGCTTGGCCGCCCTGTATGAGGTCACAGTGAGTGGTGGTTCACTTCCTGTTCCTGTCTCACCAGCTGGGACTGCCTCTGCTGGGGGCGGGACTTCAGACTACTGGGGGAGGGGGGGGTAGCAGAGCTCAGTGAGAGGAGAGAGGCCAGGGTGGGGGTGGGTGGTAGCAGAGCTCAGTGAGAGGAGGGAGAGTCCTGGGGATGGCAGGGGGTGGGGGTGGGGGGTAGCAGAGCTCAGTGAGAGGAGAGAGGCCTGAGGATGGCAGGGGGTGGGGGGTGTGGGGGGTAGCAGAGCTCAGTGAGAGGAGAGAGGCCTGGTTATGGCAGGGGGTGGGGGTGGGGGGGGGTAGCAGAGCTCAGTGAGAGGAGAGAGGCCTGAGTATGGCAGGGGGTGAGGGTGGGGGGTAGCAGAGCTCAGTGAGAAGAGAGAGGCCTGGGGATGGCAGGGGTGGGGGTGGGGGGGGTAGCAGAGCTCAGTGAGAGGAGAGAGGCCTGGGTATGGGGATGGGGATGGGTAGTGGTCAACCCCCCCCAGGGAAAATAAAGCCCCCATCTGCCGGTAGGGAAAGTGAACAGGAAGAGAGAGTTTTTACACGCTGCTCTGGTGATTAGCCATGCTGCTCTATGCTCTATGGAAGCAGGATGGAAAATGTGACTTAGACTAGTCTAGAGACTCACTCACCTAGGCAGTTGAAGCTCAGTGTTGCTCTTTTTATTATGTTGACTCATATCTCCCTCCCCCGTAGTGCTTCTGATAAGTCTAAAGCAAATGAAGGACAGTGTTCTGCTATTATTTGAGTCAAAATGAGACATAGCACAATATGTGGAGGAAAAAGTAGAGAGATAGAGAATGTTGTATGGATATGCACCAATTGAAAGTCATCAAGTAGTCATCAATCAGTAATCATCAACAGGATGAATGGCCGCTGTAATCCTCTATAGCTCTCCCAGCAGCCCAGCCCGCACGCACGCACGCGCACACACCCACACACACACACACACACACACACACACACACACACACACACACACACACACACACACACACAAAATGTTTAAGTGAGTTGAAGCTTTCAGTACTGTCTGTGTCACATTAAGAATAGAGGAGGCAATCAGGGGGGTATGCATTAGAAAACCCCATTTTCATAAAAACTAGGGGGAAAAAACAAGAATACATTTTTCATAAATGGACTTGTGTCCATCATTTTTTACTATTTTTAAAAGCACTGCATCAACAGAGGCGCAGGGCTGTGTTTATGTGTGACGAACAGTGACTGTCTGGGATTAATTTGGATGAGGTCAGAGCTACAGATGTAGGATCTTAATTTGAGCCAGTTCGCTACATCAGGAAAATAATCATACAGTAACAGGAAATGTGAATTATTATTTTGTAGGGGGGTTGATATATGTTTCGTAAGGGAAAATCAAGTCTGACATTTTAAGTGGAAATTACAAACTTCAGAAGCCTTTTTAAACCTCAACTGCACTACAAGTTAAAAATGTCTGTTGTGCTGTCTGCTTTTCATACAGTTTGATAGTAAAGCAGAAATACTGTAGGCAGTGATTCAGCCATTCATTAACGTGGCTTGCGAAAGCAGCTACACTTTAAATATTGCATCACTTATTTCTGACTTATAGTTCATGGGGCTTGCAAAGCAAGAGTCCCCAATTTAAGTCTTGGACATACTTCTGACTTATTATTATTCTTCTTCTTTAGCATGCTACTCCTCTTACACTGTTTAAACTTTAAAACGTGCAGACTGGTCTGGATTGAGTTGGTTGTATACAACTTTTTGATCTATTTTATACTTATGTATACCATCCACTTTCATGGTATTTCCTCAGCATTCCAAAGGCCCCATTGTAACATCATCACTTCCAACATTCCATTCACTGTAAATGAAACAATGCAACTTTTGACCACTTTGCTAACAACTTAGACAAAATGTTAGAGGGTATGACATCTTGGTTTACTTCCTTGCTATTACAATATGAAGTCCGAACAAAAATATATTTTACCAATCTAACGATACAGCTGTTTAAGTAACCGCATAACCAATCAATCAATCAACTACTGACCAAAGCTACTGACCACAACCACACAACTACTGACCACAAAACTACTGAACCACACAACTACTGACCACAACTACTGACCACAACCACACAACTACTGACCACAACCACACAACTGCTGACCACAACTACTGACCTCAACTACTGACCACACAACTACTTACCACAACTGCTGACCAACACTACACAACTACTGATCTTAACTATTGACCACAACTACTGACCACAACTACTGCTCTGGTCTGCACTAGCTCTGGTCCAGCTCTGGTCCTGGGCGTAGCTAGCTAGCTCTGGTTCGCACTAGCTCTGGTCTAGCTGTGGTCTGCACTATAAATTATAACTACTTAAATGTGCATAAATTAGCATATGATACCCACCAACAATAACTGTAACTCTTGAACAGCTAGAGACACCAAACCAACTTGTTCACGCTATCCTATCCTCCAACCAATCAATCAATCAATCTTTTCATCTACCTACTTTTTCAACTATAACCAGTCACCACCATTACTACTGCAGACACTACCACTACTATAACTTATTTCAAAACCATACTTTAAAACAAGCACACCACATTTTCTTCAGAAAATGTACTTTTCAGTAATCACTGTTAACCTAAATAGTGTATTTATTAGATAGAACTAAAGCTAGCTATCAGTAGTTCTTCAACTACCACACAAATACTTTTAAAGAGCTGTCATCACTAGATGCACCATCATATTTATCTCCCCAAATAATAGCCTAAAACTTTCCAATCATTACATCATCATTCAATTAAAATCAAACT